CGCCAGAGCGAACGTTATTTATATAATTCACGAAATTTCACCACAACGAGCGTTATTTATATAATTCACGAAATTCCACCAGAGCGAACGTTATTTATATAATTCACAAAATTCCATCACATTTAATACACTAACAGTACTATCAAAAAAAATCAGCCCGTGCATTTGCACGGGCAAAGACTAGTGTCACAAAAAGCATTAATAAGGGTCCGTTTGATTCTCATTATTGTAGAATGAGAATAAAAAATATATTCGTTATTGAGTCCCGCGTAAAATATTGAAATTCAAACTTGATGGCTTAATGTGATGGATAACGGTCATATTTTTCATTTTTATGGATGAAAAATGAGAAACAAATGGGAGCTCAATTTCAAAAAAATCATGCTACATATATGTCTTTGTTGACATTAAATTTGACATTATCGTGAAATATCATATTTTTAGATATTGGTTTTAATAACACTTTAAATATCAATGACACGGATTTTGACAATGTATGGAATGTCGAACTCAATGTACACTGTGTACAACTAGTTTAATCCATTTTTAAAATAAGAACTCAATCATGATTTCCAGCAAAATAATGAAGCTCGGGCTCTATTCGAGTAAAAATAGTTCAAGCTTTTGCTGGCTTGAGTCGAGTCGAACTTTTGTTCGTCCAAAAAATTTAGGCCTATTCGAGCTTTCGGCTCTGGCCTTAGCGAGCCGAGAGGGGTAGAGCCGAGTCTGCTCGCTATTTTTTTCTTTAAATTTGTCACAAATTTAATTTTTTAAAAGAATTTAAAGTTTATGCAATTTATATTAATTATAAATTAAATAAAAGTTACAACGCTACTCATTTTTCGGGTTCGGGATTAAAATAGTACACGAATAAAATTGTACAATCAATGTGTAGCTGTCTGCAACAAGGCAGCTAGTATATTTGACCAAATAATTTTATTTATTATTTATTTTTTTAAGTTTTACAAAAAAAATTTTGTGACTAGCTCGTCATGGGCCGAAAATGGATTGTGATACAAGCCGACCTATGTGACTCGTCGAGCTATACGCGTTCACTCGAACTTGAGTTGACGCCTCAAAATGGCAATCAGGCCATGAGCCGGGTAGAATCGAACTGTTTTTGGGCCGAGTTACAAGTCGCCCGAGTTGGCGAGCTAAACTATCACCCCTAAGTAGCAGCAAATTTAGCTCCCATTTGGTTTCATTATTTTTCATTAAATTATAATTCATTTTTCTTCCATTTATTAATCGTAAGTTCTCCCAAAAAATATTACATTAAGAGGGTGTTTGGTGGGTATTAAAATTAGATTTTTAGTAGATTGTGATAGAAGTTTTTTAAATGTGTGGTTGAAAAGTTGTCGGATTCATGAAAAATGTGATTAATATTGAGTGTTTGTCTTTTACTTGGATTAAAATCTGATTTTAGTCCGGACAAAACATGGGCTAAATCTAATCACTGTCTTCACTTTTGTAGCCCTCGAATGCCCCTTGTTATTTCACCACCATTTTAATTTCAGTTTTTCTGCAAACCCAATTTTCTTCAAGCCTAGAAACCTTAGGAATTTTTCATTATCAGCTTCAATTGCTGAGAAAAATTCAAGTGCTGAATTGAATTGGGTTCCTTCGGACAAAAATATCCCTGATGAGTATAATTGTTGGGCTACTGTGGAAGCTGCTCCNNNGTTGGGCTACTGTGGAAGCTGCTCCCAAGACAATAAGGGAGAAGACTAAAGGTTTGATCTTTGAACTTTTTTGAGCCTAAGGGCATCTCCAATGGCAACACCAAATTGTCAAAATTTGATGCAAAAGTGCTCCAATGTGGCACCAAATTTTGCACCATTTTGGATTTAGAGTCCAATTTGTCCCCTTTTTCCATTTGCCAAAAAAATTGTTTGAGGGTATTTGTATCATTGGTGTTATATAATTTTTAATACAATTATTATCATTATCATTATTATTATTAAGGATATTATTAATATTATTTGTATTTAAAATAAATTTTAAATGTTGAAAATAATAATAATTGAATTAATTAAAATAAGAATTAAAAAATTCAAAATATAAAGAACACGATTATTTATAGTTAACACGAAATATTAGTTAACACGAAATATATTACAACAATCACATACTTACA